GCGACCGGCCGCCGCCAGGCGAGCCCCTGGCCCAGCCGCCCGAGGCGCACGCCGCGGGGCGCGACCGCCCCCGGCGCGCGCCGGCGGTCGTCGCGGCCGCCGCGGCGCAGCGCACGCAACGCCGCGCGGCGGGCGATGCGCGCGCGCGGGCCTGGGCGCGCGAGCTGGTCGAGGAGGCGGAGTACGAGCGGTATGACGCGATGGGTGCGACGCGCGAGGTGCAGCAGCGCGCGCGGCGCCCCGGCGCCGCCGCGGCTCCCCGCGGTTCCCGCGCGCACGCGGACCCGGGGGCGCTGACCGCCAAGGAGGTCTACGGCTCCATCCTGGGCGCGCTGGGCGCCTGCGTGGCCGGCCAGGAGGGCGTGGCCGACCTGGCGCGCTGCGGCTCCTGGGACAACCCGGCCAAGCCCCTGCTCTTCAGCGCATGCGGGGGCTGGAGCGAGACGCGGTGGCACGTCGGCGGCGCGGCCGCGCCCCCCAGGTGCTGACGAGGAAGGGGGGGTGGGGGTTCAAGTCCAGTGTGTGTGAGTGTGTGGTGTGTAGCGGGAAGGGGAGCAGCCTCTGGCGATGCGTGAGTGAAGGAGATCTGGTCTTTGTGAGGGCGTCGCTGCCTCCCTCCTGCTCACCTGCTGTCGCTGGCTCGTGGCACTGGCATCTGAGCACTGGCTCCCCAGATTCACACCCCGCGTCCCTCCACAAAACACGCACAGGATCCTGGAGGTGAGCTCCGACCTGTTTGCGCCGCGGGCATTGGCGCTGGAGGAGGTCGGGGCGCGGCCGCCGCTGCCCCTGTTCCACTGACGGCGCCACGCATGGCACGTTGCATGCTTCTCTCCCCCCCCCGTACCAAAAAAGCTGTCCTCTGCATCGGAGCCCAGTCCGGATGCCGGCCACCTGTACCCCGTCGCCGGCGGGGGGTGCACCCGCCCGTGCACCCCCTCCCTGCCACACTTGACACGAGGGCCCTTGTATGGGGCGGTCAAAACCCCCCCCACCCCCAGGTCTAGCAAACCCCTGGCCGGCCACCCCTCCCTTCCTGACGTACACATCGTTTTGACGGTGCTCGCACCCGTTTGCCCCTCCCTGCCTTTGCGTGTGGGGGTGACCCTCCCCACTGGGGCGCCCTCCACCCCTTGCCCGAGCCCTCTTCGCATGCCAGACTGCCCCGCTCACAGCGAGCCCGGCAGGGCGTGGTTTTTATCTTGCGCAATGGAGCCATGTAAGCAGCCCATCCAGGAGTCGGAGCGTGGGTGTCCGCTCGCCGGCGCATCAGGCACGCTTCTGGAACACAAGCATGTAGTTGTTGGCGGGCATCTCCAGCCGCGCCAGCAGGCCCAGACCCTGCTCTTCGGCCCGCGCCTCGACCTCCTCCACGTCGCGGTAACCCCACGCGGGGTCGGTGCCGCGCAGGTAGGCGTCGAAGGCCGCGTTGGAGGCGGGCTCCAGCCTGCCGCCCACGCGGAAGGGGCCGTAGATCATCAGCAGGCCCCGCGGCGACAGGTTACGCCCCGAGCCGATCAGCAGACCCAGCGTGGCCTCCCAGGCGGTGATGTGCGTCATATTGACGCACAGCACCGCCTCCAGGGGGGGAAGGTCCTCGGGCAGGGGCCAGGGCTCGGGCTGGGACACGTCCAGGACCAGGGGAGGGAGCACCGCCGGGCTGTCGGAGGCCCACGACCGCATGCTGCGGAACCGGGAGAAGGGACGGGGCCGCGCGCGGCGTGATCAGCATGTGTGGAAGCCCAATTGATCGGAAATACCTTGATAACAACTGTCATGTGCGGGCTGTTCGGGGATTCGTACTCCAGCCCGCGCAAGGATTCCTCTCATACCTGTCCAGGCAGCTGGCGTCGCGGTCGGTCGGAAGCCAGCGCACGTTGGGCAGCTGTGGGCTCAAGCATGCAGCATGGTATCCCGAGCCCGACGCCACCTCCAGCAAGGTGTATGGGGTGGTCTTCTTCCCAAGGTGCGTCCTCAGAACAGCCCCGATGTGTGGAGCATTCCTGGGTGTGTGTAGGGGAGGGGGGATGTCGGAAGATGGCCCCGTGAAGAACAATGTGATGCATCGTAACCCATAGATCCAATGCCATTGCATGTTACAATGTACTCTTAAGACTGGGCTACCAGACAGCGCGGACCTCTCCGTGGGCGTAGTGCCTTGCGAGGAGGCCGCTCCCGGCCGGGCAGGATGGTGCGGTGGTGAGAATGCCATTAGAGCTTTAAGGGAGCTGGCGCGGACGCGCCATGCCTATAATCTGTCTGCAACAATGTAATTTTCCCCGAAGTGAACCCCATGCATGTGCCTAAGATGGTTTGGCATCGACCTTGATCTGGCGCCCCTGGCAGATTCTCGGAGACCTCCAGGGCGCGAAGATCCGCCACATCCTGCGCGGGCAAGTGCTAGCCCGGACGTATGCCAGGATGCAAACCCTCTTGCACGACCCAGGCCCACCAACATGCTGTTGTTGCCTTTGTGACCTGTTGGACTGCTATAACAGGTGTCCCGGGCCGTCAACATCCTGGCGCCGGGGAAGTACTTGTCTGAAGCGCACTCAGCTTGCCCTTTAAAACCCCTCAGGGCTACTACCAACACGCTAGAGGCTCTGGTTGGACGCAGTGGTGCAGCAAACAACTTTTGTATAGTATAACTCTGGGTTTCGCTCAAAGTTCAAGCATACGGGAAGGGTAGCGGCGCGCTGTGCCAATATGTCCAGCTCGAGGGTAGTGAGACGCTCTCGAGAGCTGCGCTCCAGATTCGTAAGGCAAGTGTGGAAGGGACATCAGATGTGTACTTTGCTTTGTAAGGGGCGCAGGCGATGGCGCCCTCCCCTACCCCCGGGTGAGCGTTGCCTGTGGGGTGCCAGCAGCTCACGCCTTGCTCCGAGCACTCCCCTCCCTTAATTGCGGTGCAGGTGGTTGACCAACGATGACCCCAGGTTCCCCTACCACCCTGAGTCTGCTGTGCGGCCCAGCGTCATCAAGAGCCGCGGCATGGAGATCCTTCAGAACCCAGTGTATAACAAGGTACAATGAAGATGTTTCCGCATGGGTCAGTGTCCCAGCGCATGCAAGGGGGTCATTCGCAAAAGGGTCTGGATGGGCGGCCCCAGCTCATACAGTTGCCGGCATGCGAGCATCGATCTCCATCCCCCAAACCTCAATGCAGGGCACTGCACACTCCCTCGTGGAGCGGGAGAGGCTTGGCCTCCGCGGCCTGCTGCCGCCCTCTGTCCTGCCTGTCCAACGCCAGGTCAGCACGTAATGTTGGTGTGTGCACCCGCAGGAAGTGTCTGAAGGATGCTGTGTATCCCTGCCAGCTGCAGTCCTGCTCCCCACGGCATGCCAGCCATGGGTTTCCAGCGCAGTGGCCTCTGCCACTGCCTGCACCTCGTCAAGCTCTCCCTTCCACCCTCGCCTGCAGCTGTCACGGACCATGGACAGATACTGGCATGGATCTGACTTCATCGACCCTTCCCAGGTGTGTTCCTATTGTGAGACTCACCTTCCCTCTCAGCCCCTGCTTGCGGGGAGAAGGAGGTTGACGCCCCAACGCATGATGTGGCAAGGGTGGCTGTGGCTCGTCGCACTGCAGGTCACAGTCCAGACCAAGGATCATCCAGTCAACACCCCCCCACCTGCCAGGTGGACTCTGGGGGCGTTACCCACGAGCACACCCGGAAATGGCTGGTACTGAGTGATCTCCAGGTGCGCCCCAGGATGTGCAGCATGCACGCAGGGCGAGCTTGGGAGGTACTGGGCATGCTGGCAGCCGTACATTGTCTCACCTGGATGCCGATCGTTCCTCCCTTCCCTCCTGCAACCAGGATCGCAATGAGACACTCTTCTACAAGTGCCTGATGGATAACTTTGTCGAGATGGCACCGGTAAGTTTGACTCCAGGATAGTCAACTCGAATGTGCCGATTAGGGTGCCGTCTGCCCGTGAGAGCACAGAGTAGGGACCTGCAGTGCCCTGTAGGCTCCTGAGGGGCATGAAGGAGGGCGTCTGATTGCCATCACCTCATCGCCGCCTCAAAACCCTGCAGATTATTTACACCCCCACGGTCGGCTGGGCCTGCATGAACTACCACAAGCTGTACCGCCGCCCACGAGGCATGTACTTCTCGGCCGCCGACAAGGGCATGATGGTGCGTTGCTTCTTGGAGGTGGTATGTTTGGGGCGGGGAAGGCCTCTGGCTCATAACATGATGAAAGGGTCGTGAGCACTGCTATACTGGGCAGTGACGTGCCCTGGGATGCAGGTGCCTGGAAGGGCAGCTTGTGTTGGGGGCTCGGGAGGTGTGCAGGGATCAGGGCCCTCCTCCACCAACCCCTCACTCTCTCGTCTGCGCAGTCAACCATGGTCCACAACTGGCCCCACGATCACGTGGACGCCATCGTGGTCACCGATGGCTCCCGGATCCTGGGCCTCGGTGGGTGATGTGACACAGGGAGTGGGTGTGTCTATATCGTGGCTCCCAGACGACAGGGAAAATACTCCCGAATGGCGTGCTGGGAGCCAGGCAGGGTCCCAGGCCAGCCACGAGTCGGCTCTTTTTGGTCTCATGTTCTATCTGAAGGCCTTGGCGAGTGTATTCAGGTTCTGGGTTACCCCCACACCTCAGCAAGTGTGGGCCATCGCCCCAACCAAATGTCTCCTGCACCCCCCTCCTCCCCCCCCTTCTCTCACATGAAACCAACAGGCGACCTGGGCTGCAACGGGCTGGGCATTCCCATCGGCAAGCTGGACCTGTACGTCGCGGCGGGGGGGTTCCACCCCAGCCGCGTGCTGCCCTGCGTCATCGATGTGGGCACCAACAACGAGGCCCTGCGCTGCGACCAGTGGTACATGGGCCTGAAGCAGCCGCGCCTGGCGGGCGACGCCTACTACCAGCTGGTGGACGAGTTCGTGCAGGCGGTGATGGGGCGCTGGCCGCACGCCGTGCTCCAGTTCGAGGACTTTGCGCTAGAGCACGCCGGCCCACTGCTCAAGCGCTACCGCGACCACCACACCGTCTTCAACGACGACATCCAGGCACGCTGCGGTCGTGGGGCCCGGGGAGGGGGTGGGGAGGGGGGGGAGAGAAATTCCCCAAGGGCGGGTGCCATGATCTCCGCATGCCGCTCACATTCCAGCCCTCCACCCTCTGAGGCGCTCACCTGACCCATCTGATTCTGGTCAAAGCTGGACAAACTCCGCATCCCAACTCTCCTACCGCCACTACCCCAAACCCCACCTACCAGGGCACCGCCTGCGTCGCGCTCTCCGGCTTGTATGGCGCGTTGCGCGTGCTGGGCAAGTCCCACGCTGACCTCACCGCCCAGCGCATCCTGGTGGTGGGCGCAGGCAGCGCGGGCATGGGCGTGGTGACCATGATTGCCAAGGGCATGCAGGCGCACGGCCTGACGCCCGAGGCGGCCGCCGCCAACTTCCACGTCATCGACGACCGGGGCCTGATCACCACGGCGCGCGAGTGCCTGCCGCCGCACGTCGTGCGCTTTGCACGTTCCGACGAGCAGAGCACGGGTGGGGTGATTGATGGTGGTGTTGTATGTGTGGGGAGTGGCGGAGAGGGAACGGAAGAAGGGGGGGTAGCAATGGGGCCAAGCGCCCTGAGGGTGCTTCATTTCTTGAGGGAGGTGCAATTCATGCCTCTGCAGCTCAGCGTGAGCCCCGCAGCAACCGACCACCAGGAGGCGTGCTGGCACCCTGCCGCCCTCGCTGTACGTTCTCTGCGTACAGACATGCCCCCCGCTCTCCCTCTCTGGCACACACACAGAGGGTGAGAGCCTGGTGGAGTGCATCACGCGCGTCCGCCCGACGGTACTGATCGGGCTGGCCGGCGCGGGGCGGCTGTTCACGCCGCCGGTGCTCCAGACGCTGGCCGCGTACTGCGACCGCCCCATCATCTTTCCCATGTCCAACCCCACCGCGCGCATGGAGTGCACTCATGAGGAGGCCATCCGCTACACAAACGGCCGCGCCGTGTTTGCCGCAGGGTCGCCCGAGCCGCCCGTGGTGTGGCACGGGGTCACCAAGGTCCCCTCCCAGGCCAACAACATGTACATCTTCCCGGGCGTCGCCTTGGGCGCGCTGCTGGCGCGAGCGGGCACGGTCAGCGACGCCATGCTCATGGCGGCAGCCGAGGCCCTGGCCGCCGAGACCAGGCCCGAGGAGCTGGAGCTGGGCATGGTGTTCCCTAACATGGACAGGATAAGGTGAGAGGTTGGTGGTGGTGCTGTTATGTGTTGGGGGGGGGGAGGGAAAGGAGTGAACATCCCCAAGGGAGAATGGGCTGTGCATGGGTGTCTCAATGGTGCACCATGGCGATGGCCGGCGGTTCGGCAGGGCAGTTTATTGAGAAATGGAGTTTGCCTGGCTGAGCACTTCCCGCTCCCATCCTGGCACAGGGACATCTCGGTGGCGGTGGCTACAGGGGTCATCAAGGCGGCAGACGGCTTGATCCAGAACAAGAAGCTGCTGGAGGCCATCGATGCCGGGCCAGAGGAGCTAAAGGCCTTCATCCACAACCACATGTATGGATTTTTAAGGGGGTTGTGGGGCATTGTGGGGCTTAGGGAAGGTGGTAGAATGGCAGCGTGGTTTCCCCTTCCTGTCGATACTAGCATTCCCTCCTCTAGACAAGAGTGGGGGCTTCACATGCGTCCCCTGAGATCATGCATCTCCAATTGACCTCCGCAACCCAGCTCTGTGCCCTCAGCTTCTCCAGATTGAGAGAGGCATGTCCGACACTCCTCCCCACAGGTTCCATCCCGAGTACACAAACCTTGTGTACAAGGGGTGAGGCGCCTTGGAGTTGGCACACATGTTCTTCTTCCCACAGCAGACTACCTGAAGCGAGTCGATCTAGGTTCAATGGCCATCGTTCAAGCCTTTGGCGCTGGCAGCCAGCAGGTCCACAGTCGCTATCCAATTATGTTTGCCTTTGGCTGGGTCTGCTCAGCTCACACTTGATCTGCCCACACGGTTCCTCGTCTGTGTAATTCGCATCAGCCGCTCATACTTTTCCAGTCAGGGAGTGAAAGCAGGCTTGACATGTTGAAAGTGGTAGTGAGCGTGCACTCTGCCTGCCGGAGCCAACAGCTGCAAGCATGAACTTACTACCGATGCATGGTGATCTCGGCGCGCGCAAACAGTCGGCACAATTCCTTCATCGTAAAGTATCAATGGACAAGGGTCTCCCAGGCCGATGTCCTCGTGCAAAATTATAAACAAACTGATATAGAACAAGACCACATAATGGCACTTGGGGCCTCTGTCCTCATCGGTGCATGATGTGTGCACCGTGAGAACGGGGTGCCTTTAATACTAACCCGGGGATCCGATGTCTGGATTCAGACGACCGGGATCGCAGAATGCGACAGCATTTGGCCTATCCTTCGCTGCTGATCGGGACACCGACAAAGGAAGTGCCCCTCCCATCCACAACCCGTGAGCTTGACGGTGCTGGTGGCGGTCACAGGAGTCACCATGTAGGGTCTCCCATGCCAGGTGCATGCTATCTCCGTGCATGCCGTCTTTCTCGGAGGCTGAAGGGCTTGCAAGCACCATCACAGGAACGAGAGGCTGAGCCTGGCAGAGCAGCGCCGGGCACTGCCTGTGCACGCCCACCTGAAGGAAATCTTGTACCTGCTGGAAAACCATGCGACAACGGTCGTGGTGGGGGAGACAGGAAGCGGTAAAACGACTCAAATACCCCAGTATCTCCATGAAGCAGGTGCCGGTGTGCGCTTGGGAATGTGGGTTGTGACTTCAGGGGGCCATTGGATTTGGTATGGAGGTGTCGCGGGAAGCCAATGGCCTCGACAGGATGCCACGCCCTTGCTAGTACTTACTCGGCTGCAATGCAATATCATCTCAAGGCCCTCGCTGCCTCCACCAAGCGTGTCACTCCCCCCACCATCCAGGTTGGACGGCCGGGGGCAAGATGATTGCTTGCACGCAACCCCGCCGCCTGGCTGCCATGACCGTGGCGGCTCGGGTGAGCGAGGAGATGGGGTGCAGCCTGGGCCGCGAGGTCGGCTATGCCATCCGATTTGAGGACAGAACCGAGAAGGTGAGGGGTGGATGCTGCGGATGATGTGGACGCTGTCTCGGTAGGGTGCAGCACGATTAGAGGAGCAGGGAATGGAGTGACAGGCAATGTTGTTGGAAAGCAGTGCCTATTGCTCGTCGTGGATGATGGCAATGGACTGGAGTGGGTGGGTAGCTGGTCACTCTACCTGCCACATGGTTTGTCCTCAGTCGAGAGAAGACTGTGCAGGCCCCATCGCTGGTCCCCGTATCGGCTGTACTGCGTCGGCCCAACCACTAAACCCTAAACCCTCGTGCACACACCGCAGGGCAGAACGTGCATCAAGTTCTGCACCGATGGTGTCCTGCTGCGTGAGATGATGTCTGACCCCTTGCTGACGGACTACAGGTGAGAAGGTGGGGCCGGGATTAAGATTGGCAAAAGTGTTCACAGGTGCAAAGCTCTGTGCTTTCCATGGAGGTTGGGTTGGCTGGCCATCTGCGTGTCGTTTCTACAAGTAGAACAGGAACCTTTCTGGAGTTAACCCCACTACCCCCGTGCTTCCTCTGCAGTGTCATCATGGTGGATGAGGCACATGAGCGCAGCCTGGCAACAGACCTTCTGCTCGGGCTTCTCAAGGTACCCATCAGAGGAGTGCTTGATGCCCATTCCTGGCCATGCCCAGACCTTGTGGTGTTCTGCTGGGACACACAGTCAGCATGCACACTTGTCATGGGCAGCGTCTTGTCCCCATCAATTTCCATTAACACACCCTCGTGAACTGTCGCCGCAGAAAATTCAACGACAGAGGCCAGACCTTCGCATAATCATCTCCTCGGCGACCATCGAGGCGGAGCGCATGGCAGCGTGAGGAGATATTGTTGGCATGGGTCGTTGGGTGTGCAGCTGAGTGGCACTGGATTCCTGGGACCATGCCCAGAGCACCACTGCTCGGGAGCGACGCCGTGGTTTCTCACCGTCACACATGCAGGTTCTTCAGGGCTCCCACTGCTGCCAGCAAGCCACGGGGCCACCCCTTGCAGCACTCTGAGGCAGGCGCCGATCAGTTCTCGGGGAACCCTGCCCTGCTCAGCGTGGAGGGCAGGGCCCACCATGTCCAGGTGCGAGGAAAGGGCCAGAGTGGATGAGGGGGGGGTGTCAAGCGCTCACAGGCACCCAGGACTGGCGCCACGCATCTCACCTGCGTGCAGAGTACCAGAGCCTGGACGTGGGGTGAAGCATGGGCAGGAAGCCAGACCCCCTGCTTGGCCGTGTCCCCGCCTGAGACCCTACCAGCTCGCACGGCGTTGCTCTTTTCAAACCGCATTCCCCCCTTGTGCACCCTGCCCCAGGTGCACTACCTGGACGAACCCTGCTCAGATTACCTGGCAGCGGCTGTGGAGGCGGCGCTGCAGGTGCATCGCCAGGAGCTGCCGGGCGACATCCTCATCTTCCTCACGGGCCAGGACGAGTGCCAGGCGGCGGTGCGCCTGCTCGAGGAAGAAAGCCAGAAATCGGGCCACAGGAGCGGCCAGCTGAGGTTGCAGGTGCGCGGGCAAGCTCTTGGTGATGTGTTTGGAGAGAGATGGGGCGTTCCTGCTGAGTGGGCCGGGATGCTTGAGCCATGATGGATGGAGTGTGCGACTGGCCCGGCAGCCTCGGCGCCATGCATGCATGCCTGCAAACGTGATTCACTCTCCCACACCGGCCCTGCTGGTCCCTCACATTGAGCCGCGCGCCCACACCCCACCAGGCGATGCCGCTGTATGCCGGGCTGCCGGCCGCCCAGCAGCTGGAAGCCCTGAGCCCAGCCCCACGAGGGGTACGCAAGGTGAGCAAGGGTGAAGCCTTCGTATAGATGGTGGGGCTTGTTAGGGGAGGGGCGTGGCGGGTGGCTGCATGATGACAATGCAAAATCTCAAATGGGAAGCAAGGATGCAATCCGGTTTGGACAGACAGCTGCCCTGGCCGCCCGCACTTCTTGCCAGCCTGCGCATGGATGTCCATCAAGTGGGCACCTCACACCCGCGGCCACGGGCAAGCCCCCCCCCTCCTACAGGCCATCGTGGCGACAAACATCGCGGAGACGTCGCTGACGCTGGAGGGGGTGGTGTACGTCATAGACTCCTGCTTCGCCAAGCAGCGCGCCTACAACCCGCTCACGGGCCTGCAGAGCGTCCTCATCACGCCCATCAGCCGCGCCTCCTCCGCCCAGCGAGCCGGGCGGGCGGGTCGGGTCAGGCCCGGCCACGCTTTCCGGCTGTGCACCGAGGCTGGGTGGGAGGCGCTGCCCGCAGCCACGGTGCCGGAGATGCAGCGCTGTGACCTGGCTGGGGCTGTCCTGCAGCTCAAGGCCCTGGTGGGCAGGGGTTGTGAGATCCTGGGACAGGAGGGGGAGGGACCTGGATGACAGGCTCGGGAGTGAGGGTGGCAGGGCTTCATGGTCCTTGGGAACAAGGGGACCCCACTTCCATCTGAGCTCCTTCTTAGGCTGGCACCCCCTTCTGTCATTTTGCTTCTTAAGCAGGGGCATGGTTGGTTACGCGGTAGCAAGACGCAGACGAGGCAAGGATCCCACATACCCATTCACGCCATCTGCCTTGCACCCAACAGGGCATTGGCAACATCATGCGGTTCGAGTGGCTGGCACCGCCGCCGCCAGAGACCATGATTCGAGCGCTGGAGAGCCTGCATGCCCTTGGGGCGCTAGGCTTGGATGCAAAGGTGACTGGCTTGGGGTGGCGACTGGTGGTATGGCAGGCATGCCAATGCCTAGCAGGTAGTCCTCCAGCTCCTTCTTCCGAGGCCTCTAAGTATCCTCCATCCCTCCTCCATGCGCTGCAGTTGACAGCGCCCCTGGGAAACCACATGGCTGCCATGCCCCTAGACCCCTTCTTGTCCAAGATGCTCCTGGAGGGCTGCAGCCGAGGCTGTGTTCAGGTATAGCATTGAGCTTAGGCATCGGTCGTGAGCCATCCACAGTGGTCCAAGGGGGCCGAACCAGCAATCAGCTGACGTGTCAACCCTGCACCCTGAGTTCCATGCAGCAGCAAAAACTCGTCTCCACGCTGGAATTTTTCGTCGCTTCCTTATTGATTGCAGGAGATGCTCACCATTGTGGCCATGCTGTCTGTGGAGAGTATCTGGGCACCCGGGAACAAGGTGGAGGTGGATGAGGCCAAAGCAAGGTGAGGTGCTTTGGGCAATGTAGGGCAAGGCCTGCGGACTGGTGTATGTAAGACACTGCTAGTGTTTGGCCAACAGCACCAATGCCAAGCTTCCTGCATGCAGATTACACAATATCGTCACCAATCCTGCTCATGCCCACCCTCCATGCATTGTGCTCAACCGTCAACCCCCCACCCCCCTTTAAATTCATGTAGATTTGGGGTGGCGGAGGGGGACCTCCCCAGCTTCTTGAACATCTGGAAGGCCTGGCTAGCTCGTGTGCGGGACAAGCGCTGGTCGTACAAGAACTACGTTAGCCACCGCTCCATGCTTCGAGCAGGTCGGTGGCAAGGGTTGCTCTCTGCCATGGCAGTCTGTTGGTGTGTCATACCCATTTCAGATCTGCCTCCTGGCAACCCCTCAAAACATGGATGCCATGCCTGCACACCCACCGCATCAGCCTCCCTCACTCAAGCATCCATGTTGCCCCGCCATTCTATCCTGGCTGCAGCCGACATCCGTTTCCAGCTGGAGTCGCACCTGAAGAGGGCAGGCCTGGACTGGAGGTCCACAGCCTTGGGTCCTGGGGCACAGGGCGACGCAGCGTCAGGGCTGCTGACTGTTCGCAAGGCCTGTGCTGCTGGGCTGTTCATGCAGGCGGCCCGACTCACAGAGGAACTCGTCCTTGATAAAGCAGGTGGGATTCGTGCTTTATTGTGCGTCGTGCTTTGTCTCCTCTGGGGGAAAGGTGTGTGTATTCATGTATCCGGACGAGAAGAGAGTGGGCCAGACGATGTGCCGCCTGTGCCCATCCAGCCTGATTGCGACACGCGTGTACAATGTCAAGTATCAGCCCTCTCACCTCGACCAGATGCTCGAGATGCGGGTGCCAGTGTGTACCGCCTGGTCCGATCTGGCGGGGGCGAGGCAGCTGCCGCGAAGCTGCGCATACATCATTCCAGCGTCCTGTTCCGCTGTCGGCCATCCTGGGTCTGCTTCTACGGCGCAGAGCAGAATAACACTGGGTGGTGCGCAGAGGGGAGGAAAGGGGGGGGGGGGTAAGGGGGGGGGCCCATTGCAGTGTTCTGTGCCCCCTGCTGATGGCTCTCCGACGACTGCCAGGAATTTATTGCATTCCCACCTTCTCACATCTCATTGTTCATTCCCACTGATTAACATGCCAGGTATGAGATGAGGGACATAGCTGTCATAGAACCAGACTGGTTAACAGAACTGGCACCACACATGTATGCCATGGTCCATGCGCACCGACACTGACAGACATGTCACCTGAAATCTAGAGACTGATAGGGTCATGGCTTACAGTCGCATGTTCAGGTTTTGTATTAGGATTCTCACGGCTCATCGAAGGTGTGAACAATGACACCAAGTTGCCTCCAAACCTGACCGCCGCATGCCCAGCAGCACGAAACCAGTGGGCAATGTTTCGCATCCTGTGTTCCTTGAACATCCCTCGAGCATAGACAACCACCAAAAAACCACAAAATATTACTTAACAATCTCATCAGGAGGGTGGCGAGCCCGTCTCAACCCCCGCTGCACTCTCCGTGATGCTGGCCCGTGCTCAGCGGCTCGCGGCTGCGGGCCAGCCTGCGTACAGTCTCCTTAGACAGAGCTGCGCAGCATCCACGGCCGCAGCTGGAGAGGCATCCTCCTCTGGACGGTCGCCCAACCTGGAGTTTGCTCGCAGTCGCGCCAGCCACGCGAAGGAGCTCTCCGAGCTCCGCAAGGCTTGGGCTGCGGACTTGGCTGTGCAGCAGGCGAAGAAGCAGGCGGCGCGAGATGCTGAGAGGTGGGATGGGACATGTGGCGATGAAGAGGGTGGTTGGCTGAGCGTCTTGATCAGCTGATATCATTCACCCCAGTGCAAGCACCATGGGCCACATCCCCCATCATGCAGGGCCGCCAGGGAAGCTCGCCAGGCACGGCGGTCAGGAGTGGATGTAGCCGATAAGCAGGCGAGGGAGTCTGCAGCCCAGCAGGCGCTCGCAGCCGCCAAGGCGGCCAAGGTGCGGTGCTGGTGATGGACACTCGATGCTCGAGTGTTGCTGGCATCCGCAGAGTGCATTTGATGCTGGGTGCAGTGCAGTGCGTTTCAAAATGACATGCAAGTTGCTGTGTGGGGGCTTGCTCAGGCTGGCTGGGGCCCAATAGAGTGTGTTGGTACTGACTCTGACAGAGCATGGACCCCCTCACCCACTGGCTGGCCGCAGATAGAGGAGAAGAAGGTCCGAGCGCATCGACAGCTCCTCCGCGAGGACATCATCAAGTTTGCGCGGGAAGAAAGGTGCAGTGGCATTTGCCTGTGTGGGGCTCCGGTCTGGCCTGAGCTTGTGGTGAATCTAGATGTCGAAATGTCAGCAGCGCACGCAGACTGTACAGGGAGCAGAAGCTGGGTTGAAAAACCCATGAGCCGCACCCACTAGGCATACACAGGAGGGTCTACGACGCTCGCATTCTCAAAACTGTGCAGGGCGGCCGGCTTGCTGGAGGCCAGCAGGAACTGGATTGCCCCCGAGACCCTGGAGGCCAGGATCGACTATGCTCTCGAGCACCCGGTCCCACTCGTGGCTCCCCCCACTCCACCGCAATGAGCACAGCATGGGTCGCAGGGCAGCAGGCTCGAGGATGAGGCCCGTGGATGGGGCTGAGGACATGGGGCTGTGGCATCTGGCCTCGTCGGCGCCGGGTCGGCCCAGCCGACCGATGGGTCTACGGGGGGACCCTCCCCCCATCGCCTAGGCGGCCTTGCTCTTGGGAATGATGACTCTGGACCCGGCCAGGTTGGTGGTCACCCCGCCCTTCACCAGCCGCCTCTCCTCAGTGATGCCCTGTGCGGCGAATCGTGGGGTTTTGGGGGTGAGACCGCATGCGCTCCCGTCCTGCACTCATGTAATGGCAGAGCGCCGGCACAGGAGCTACCCCCTGAATGGCGTTGGGAGAGAGCGGCATGTTCAAGAGCCTAGGCACGCATGTCTGAACCTCTTGCGCTCGCCTCGCGCCTGCTCGCCAACCCCACCCCCCACCTGCTCCACGAGCGGCGCCCTCAGGGCGGCGGCCATGGCCTGCCTCACGCCCGCGGCGTACGCAGCCGGGTCCGCCCTCTCCTTCTGGCTGGGGAAGTAGGTGGGCAGGACCTGGATGGTGGCCCGGTTCAGGGGCTGGGCCAGCAGGCGGTAGACATGGAGTGGGGTGGAGGGCACGATGCCCCAGGCCGGGTTGAAGGCGCGGTGCGGGTAGGCCAGGAGGATGGGGCAGACCGGGTGCCCGCTGGCAAACGCGCCGCGCCTGAACTTGAGCAGGCACTGCGCGGCCTTGGTGGTGGCCTCTGGGGCCATGACCAGCATGGGGGCGCTGTGAGGGGGGTGAGCAGGATGGGGGAGGGGCATCGCAGGTGCACTTGGTAGGGGTGTTGCATGCGGGACCAGGCAGGGAGGCACGCCCTTGCCCCTTCAGATATTGAATTCCCCCTTTCCACCCAGCCCCTTCAGGCCCACGCACCACTCGTCGGCCACCCGGGCCTGGATTGCCTCCACGGCGTCCCCCTTGACGGTGTGCGCGTTGGCGTGGTCGGAGCTGCCGCGCCGCTCCACGAACAGCCACTGCATCGCGCGCGCAAAGGCGCCGATGAAGGGCAGGTTGGCGACGCCGGCCTTGGCCACGCCGGAGAGCGGGATGAGGGACACCAGGAGCACCGGGTCCACGTAGGACAGGTGGTTGAAGATCACGATCGCGCGGCTGGCCTGTGAGAGAGGTAGGGGGGGAGTGGAGGGGAGGGGGGGGTAAGGGGCATGTGCTAGAAGTGAATCCAGTACCAGTAGGGCCTCCGAGGGCAGGAACTCTTGCCAACAACTGCTGCTGCCTGGCACAGGCGGGGTGGGCTTTCGAAGGCAGAAGGCCGTTGCTTCACAACAATGTATGTGAGAAGAACTTCAGAGCGGCCATGTGGATCCTGCATGACACCGACCGACCCCACCTTTGCCTGCTTCAGGTGCTGCCGTCCCGTCACTTTCACATTGAAGAAGCCCGAGAGGAAGAGGGCCACGTGGCAGAGCACCTGGATCCACGACTGCACGACGGCGTGGCGCACGCCGTGGCCGCCCTTTCCTCCTCCGGGGAGCAGAGCCATGAGCGCAGCCATCACGATGTAGCCGGTGACCACCGTCACCAGGAGCAGGAGCGTCTGGAAATGGAGAATGGAAGCATGGGCTCGGGACAGGGGGCGAGCAACAGGGGCACTCCCTGCATCTGACCATGCAGTGATGCTGAAACAACCCATGTCCATCCACTCAACCCTGCCCAGCACGCACTCGGAGGAGGACCACCGGGAACATGAGGATCAGCTTGGCAGCCTCCTGAGGAGTGATGGGGCTGTCGGTGTCGATGAAGGGCGACCCCGCCGCCAGTTCCTCCAGGTCTGGGACGTGCGGCGGGTTGGGGGCCGACAGCGGCAGCGGGGAGGCGGCGGGGTCTGACCCTGCCGCGCCACCGACATGCCGGCCAGCACGGGGAGTGCTCGGGGACTTGTCTCTCTTTTGCGGCGTGCCCGCAGCTGTTTGTGACGCCTCCCGCCGCCCTGCCGTTGGCCGCAGTCCTACATCGGCTTGGGACGTCGTTTCCGGGGCCTCTGGTGGGTGCAGGCCCTCCAGCTCGGCGGGAAGAGGCTCCCGCTCTTCATCGCTGCTGGTGGAGGAGGTGTCGATGTCCAGCGGCCGACTGATGCTCAGCACACGCTGTACCTCCACCCTACGGGGCGGAGGTGCCTGCTGCTCACGCCCTTGGGACTTGGATCCGGGGCGCAGCGGTCGGGCGATTGCCTTGAACACGCCCTTGATGCCCATTCGATGAGCCCCGGGGTTGTGAGTGAGGTTCCAGGCACCAATGGTAGCTAGATCACTGGGCACGATAGTCTCGTGAAGCCCGGCTGGTTAATTGATGAGCAGATTTGCGTTCACCTGCCCGACATCTCTTTGCGTGTGATGCTGTGTAGGACGCGTATTAATGCCGAGTTGTTATGAGTTCCTGCTGCAGTGGCAGCATTGCGTGAGTCTCGTTTTGCCGACGCGCAGGAGGGGGATCTACCTCCGTTTGCCGGTGCCTCTGGGGATGCTGCTCGGAATCTGAGTGCTAGACTGCAACAGGAACAGAAGGGGATCTGGTGCGCCTTTCCCGGTTGCAGGGATGCAAAAACCGATCTTATGAATCCAGATCGACCAACACATGGCAACATGCAGCATATCTCTTGAAGTCTGCAGCGCAGATCGGTTACGGTCAGGAACCAAGAAGCACTGCCAGTCTTTGAAATCGACCATCTGCCTTGTCTTCTCCCCCATTAGCACTGGGCCATAGGTTTCTCGGTTTTAGAGTTCGTGCAAATGCTGTAATGGTAGATGCGCTTATGGTGTACTGCAATGTTTCAAGAACGTTGGCTCATAATATGGCCAGAGTATTTTGAGCACCATCCATGTCGCAAGAGGCATACTTTGACAATCAGGGGAAAGAGGAACGAATGACATATTTCTCTTCATCTCAAGTTGGAAGGTGGCCGTCCTACGAGACGACTCCTGTCAACCCAACATCATCATAACGATGGCCACGACACGAAGATTTCTGTCCCTCGCCCTCATGATCGCTCGATCGCCTTCGACTCAACCATTCCCCAACCCCCCATTTCGACTGATCAATGCTAGCAACCACCGTCAGGTGTTTTGCACCACTCGGCATTCGCCTCAGCGCACGGTACGGAACGGGGCGGGGCCGGAGTTGCTGTTTCTGTGCCGGCTAAAGTAGGGCTCCCTCCCCGACCATGCCCACATGCCCCCCAGCAGGAATCCTAGTTCATTATACGCTCGGATAGACGTACGGACCATGGCTTCCGGAAAGGTTTCAGTCCAGGAGGCAGCAAAGCTTTCGGAGGAGGGAAAGTACACGTACCTGGACGTGAGGTGCGCATCCTCAACACCTGCATGGAGGCTTGCATGTCCCGGTGCCGCGATTGCAACATTTCAAATATCTTTCGCTGCATCCATGCCCTCGAGCAGGACCGAGAAGGAGTTCGCAGCGAGCCACCCCAAGGGTGCCAGCAACATCCAATGGGCTTTCGCAGGGGACAGCGGGTTCACCCCCAACCCCGACTTTGTGTCAGAGGTGCTGTGGGGCTCCTTGTTGGGCTCCTGTCGAGGACGAACCGATGCTCTCCTGGGCAAATTCAGTTTGTCTGGATACCGCATGGGCTGTGCAGCATGCCAGTGGGCATTGGGAGGCCATGTGCACATGCATGCCTTACCAAGGGGCCACACACGCTCCATGCGTGATTACGATCCGCACCCACCCTCCTTCCTGACCTTCGACCCCACCGCCTCCCCAGGTGAAGGCCGCGTATGACAACCTGGACACCCCCCTCCTCATCGCCTGCCAGGCGGGGCGGCGCTCTGCCGCGGCCGCCGCGGCCCTGGAGGCGGCGGGGTACACCCAGCTCAAGGACGTGGAGGGCGGCTTCGGGGCCTGGACCGCTGCCGGACTGCCGACCGAGTCGTGAAGGGGCCTGGTGGTCGAGACGTGCAGAGGCCGGGCGACGGCTTCTAGGCCTCGAGGATGGCGGGGGAGCAGTAGAGCCATACTTCCTCGTGCACAGCAGGGCTCTTCTGGAGTTGCATACTGACTGTTTGCATGGTCTGATACACAGTGCTGCCAACGCGGAATTATGTATGGGTGCAAGCGGCTGGATGGAGCTTGCTGCGAGAGCCAGTCTGCTGTCGAGGGCTGTGAGGTGCATGGCGGGTACCCTACAAAAGGTGCTGCGCCCTGGACAGCACGGGAATCACAGGGCCGCCGCCTCTACATCGTCCGCAGTGTGGGCCTCCGCGCGCCGGCGCGCGGCGCTCCGTGCGCACCGCCCCAGGAAGTCCAGCGCCTTTGCGTAGGCGGCATCGGAGCGGTCGGTGGGCTTGCAGGCGGAGATGTGGTCGTGGGAGGGGAGCACGAAGAATTCGCCGTACCCCGGATAGGCGCTCTCCAGCGGCACCACCAGCGTCTTGATGTAGGCCACCCGCGTCGGCTTGCCCTCGCCAAAGGACAGCACGGCCAGGCCGCCGCGGCGGTGCATGCCACGCACCGCCGCGTTCACGTCCTCCAGGTGCAGCTCGCTGGTCTTCAGATGCGCCACGGCGCCCGCGGGGAAGCCGCCCACGTACCGCAGCTGCCAGCCCAGGTCCGCCAGGCGCGAGCCGGAGTGGGGCACAGCGTAGCTCACCAGGCCTAGCGTGTTGCAAGCCAGCCTGAGCGATTGGAAAGAGGGAAGGGAAGAGGGGAGGGTGAGGAGTTCTGGGTCATGCTGGGGGTGGGGGATGGGCAGGGGGCGTGGCGACATTGAGCGGGACCTGTGGGAATGGAGGTTGGGGCGCACTTCCGGTCTGCAGCTGGGCAGGCCGGCGGGCGGCAGCCCACCTTGTGTGGCGCCATCTCTCTGGCACCACTGCTCAGTGGGGTGGGGATCATATGATGTAGCATCCTCGAGTCACCCCACAGCCGCTAGGCGGCGCACCACTGCCGTCCACCCCACGCAGATCCCCCCCATGCCCTTCCCCCTCCTCCCGCCCGCCGCCCCCCCCCCACAGGAGACACACTACACACTCCCCCAACCCCCCTCATTACTTGTGCCAGGCGTGCCCGTTCTCCTTGGCCTGGGCTTGCGCCAGGAGCTCCTTGACCAGCACGCCGCCCATGGAGTGGCAGACAAATACCGTGGGGCGCGCCCCCACGCCGGCGTCCAAGAGCATGCCCGCCAGCTGGGCCACGGTGTGCTCGAAGGGCAGCGACTCGCCCTGCGATTGTAAAGGGTGGGTGGAGTAGGTTGGTCACGGAGATATGTCAAGGTGGCTGACGCTGCCGGTGCGAGCGTCGCAGGGTCCAGGGGAGTTGGTGGTCCTGACACCCACGCAACCGCTCCAGCTCAGCGTGGGCAGCATCGCGATCCCTCTCCCCCCCCCCCCCAAAGCCCCCTCACCTCCCACCCACTGGCAGGAGCAGCATACTCCACGGTCAGCAGGCGCGCCTCCGGGAGCTCCTCGGACAGCCAGGCCGCCGGCCAGCAGGCGTGGTGCTCAAACGCGGCGCCCTGCAGAGGTCGGGAGGGAGGGGGGGAGGGTCGATGGCAGACGGGGAGCGTGGGGGACGAGTACGAGTGTGCAGGGGATTGCAGGGACCCGGTGAAACCCCGCTCCCACCCCGCTCACCTTGCCCGGGCGCGGTGAGCCCTCCTGGCGCCACGTGGCAAAGGCGCCGCCCCGGATGCCGTGGACGAAGACCACGTCCATCAGCGGCGTCCCTGGCAGGTGTTGCGTGCAGGGAGGGGGAAGGTAGGATGCGCGACCCCAAGCACATGTGATGAGCCCCTGACCGGGAGGGGCAGTCGTCAATGACCCCGCACAAGCCCTCCATCATCAGTGCATCCCTCCCTCACACCACACATCATAAGAGTGCACCCCCCGCCCAAGTACACAAAAAACACGACCCCGGGCTCACCAGGGCCCGTGGCGTCCCGTCCGCACCGCGCCAGCACGGCGTGGTGCTCGGCGCCGGGGACAAACAGGTGCATGCCGTCGCGCAGAACGAGGCGGCGCTCGCCGCGCGCCCCCGCCCCGCCCGCCGCGCCCTCCGTAATAACTTCGTAT